CTGACAGAGCTGTCACTACCTGATCCGTCCTGCACAAGTGCCAACAGAAGAATGAGATCCAGTTTACAGAAAAACTACGTAAAAAGGGTAATGAAAATACTGAGTTATATACTTAAATCCTTAAACAATGTTAAACTACATCTTATAGAAAATATTGAAGACTTTTCTGGAAGAAATAGATATTTTCCATTCTCTCGATTGTGTGACATCATCACCAGACATGCTCAGAGCAGTCACAGTTCCAAAGGCTGTTTAATTTTAGAATATGCAATATGTACGCAAACACAAAAATATTCAAAGGTACCCCCTGCCGGAAACAGACAAAAGAATAATAAGAAAAACAAAGTATTGTTTTCGCGCATGTTCATAGCCTGTCTATCAATGATAGATCTAGATCTCTGTTCACTGGAATCAGGAGAGATTCACAGACTTATCTTTATTATTTCTGTGTTATTTTGTCTTATTAGTACGGAAGAGGATTAGGGCCACTGGAAAAAAAAAAAAAAAAGTTTACTGATTTTAAAATTTTATTTCAATTTAGTATGGGGAAAAGTCAGAATTCTGACTTTAATCTCAGAATTTTGGATCTTAATGTAGATGGACACCAAGAAGAGATGTGGGAGCACTTAGCTTCCCTTACAAAGATGTGAGTTGTTTGAGGTGGCCAGTGACACATTGGTGGAAAATGACGGAATTAGGCAACTTTTTACACCCGAGAGGTCCCCTCATTAATAGAGGAGCAGAAGGTCATTAAAACAAGAGAGCTAGTCTCTAAAACAGGCATGGCTATGGCCTGATACTAACATGTTTGTTATTTGTCAGAATTCTAAGAAAAAAGTCAGAATTCTGAGAAAAAAAAGTTAGAATTCTGAGAAAAAAAAGTTAGAATTCTGAGAAAAAAAGTTAGAATTCTGAGGAAAAAAAAGTTAGAATTCTGAGAAAAAAAAGTTAAAATTATGAGAAAAAAAGTCAGAATTCTGAGAAAAAAAAGTTAGAATTCTGAGAAAAAAAGTCAGAATTCTGAGATTAAAGTCAGAATTCTGAGATTAAAGTCAGAATTCTACTTTTTTCCCATACTAAACTGAAATAAAATTTAAAATCAGTTAAAATTATTAAATAATGTGTTAGGTCTTGGTTCAATAGGCTATGTTCATTTCAATATGTTTTAAAAAACATTTAACCAGTCCAGCCCTCAGCTTGAAGCAGATAGTTTTTTTGGCCTTGGGTTTTTGAC